AGATTAGCTCTTGCTTTGGAGATAAAGTGACCTTTTATTTTCTAGAGTCAACATCTTCAATTTGGGGGAATTTTGTTTTTGGGAATTGGTATGCCTGTCAAATAACAAAACACAAACGCTCTTCATGTGTTTGTAAGCAGTGTTGCCGTTTGTACGAGGATCCTCGTATTTGTACGAGGTTATGATGTAATGTACGAGGTACGAGGATAGACCAGCCTCGTACCTCGTACATAACTTTTGCTGACGTATGCAATGCAAGGTTATATTTTTGTGAATGAAGTTTAGAATTGTTTTACAATTATTTTTACTGTATTATTACTTATATTGATATGAAATACTGAACTTCTGTTGCTTTATAGACAAATAGATTGCAATTATATCTTCTTTAATTAGAGTATGATTATTATTTCCTTCATAAAACCATGATTGTATAGGTATGTTTTTTTTTTAGTTTTCTAGAAAATAAAATTTAAAAAAAATATATTTTAGATTTTATTTAGTATAAAATAAAATATAAGAAACCATATCAATTATTACCTTCATAAAACTTTTTTTTATAAATTTGTATTTTTTAAAATGTGTTGTAAAAGAAAATTAAAAAGAAATGTTTACCTTCATTTTTCGAACATAAAATAAAATACGAGAAAGTATATCCATTATTTCCTTCATAAAATGGCAAATGTAAATATATTCTAAATAAATCAAAATAAAAAAAAAATTGTTATCGTAATTTTTAAAAAAATATTTTCGATTTTTATTCGAGTTAAGTTATAATTGAAAAATTAACTATTATTCATAATGAATCCATCTTAAATAATGAAAAAAAAGGTATTTTTTTAGTGGTCCACATTTTTTTGTGCGGGATATGTTTGCAAGCTAAATACTGAAACAATCACAATCTATTTATCTTTTATATTATAATGGATTTCTCTAAAAGCATTAATGCCCCAATAATTAATTTTTATTGGCCTTCCATGATCACTAACATCCTTTCATAAAAGTAGTTGTTTTGTTTTTAGAAAAAAGAAAAAAAAATTAGTCCTTCCCCCAAATTAAATCTTGGATCTACTAATTAATACTTATGAAGAGTACTTTAAGAAGTTTACTTAGCTATTTTAATGTTTATATAACGTTTTCAGCAGTTTATAAAAATATATAAACTTTTTTATATATTTTATTAAGCTAATTTTACTTCTTGACCCATTAACTTAAATAAAAGTAATGTAAAAAGACTTTAAAATATATGAATAGAGGTAAAAATAAAAAGCTCTGATATAATTTTACTATAAAAAAACAATGATACTGGGCTTACAATAGTACTAGTTATGAATGAGCAGGCGAGGATGTACAAGGCTTTAGTACGAGGATTTGTCACAGAGCGCGCGGCAACACTGTTTGTAAATCATAAACATAGTTTAGTTTACTGTTGCCGTGTCTGTAGGTTTCATATAGTTCCTGCTGGCTATCAAACTGGCTAGTTTCTGTGGCTATTAAATTTTCAGTAATTGATTCTAATCTTCCTGTCAGGTTTTGTTCCATGACATCTCCTCCAAGTATAAACTTTTCTTTCTGCTTGTCTCTCCCATCATCGCCATCGCTCCATGGTATATTCATACTTTTTAATATCTCTAGAAATTTCATCCAAAGATATCACAGCAAAATTTTATGTTTTCCATCTTCACTTCACCAGACAATTTGCCTGTTAAATTTTCAAGTTTGACATCGTGCACCACTTGATTTGTTTTAACACCCTCTAAAAGTTTATATGAAAGTATTTCTTCCTTTTCATTCTGTAATTTCTGTATTGAAGAACTGATAGTTGCTGAAATATCATCGCCATATGCCAAGTTTTATTTGCATGCCCTACCAATGTATAAAATTTAATTTCTATTTCTATCCACTTGTCCTGGTAACTTATGGATATATCAAATTCATCCTCCAGTTCTTTTTCATCAACTAGGTATCAAAGCTCTTACCTTTTTCTCGAACTCTAATAGACATTTAGCTCTTGCTTCTAGTTTTCTAAATTCCTTTTTGAACTCAGGATTATTTTCAGCTATTTCAACTGAAGTAGCTAAAGTTGTAAATAAATTTCTCCACTGAGCTCTTTCTAATTTGGCAGTTTTAAACTCTTCAACACTCATTATTTTTAATTTCTCCACACAAGGGATGCCATTATGTAATATTAGGAAATCACTTCAGGAAAAAACTTTTATACTATCTTGACACAAAACACCTTTATTCTTCTCTACATCACAAAAACAAAGAACAAAGGACTGCTACTCTCAGGGTAACCTCATCTAAGCCAACCTGCTTTGTTTACAACAGCTCAGCAGTGTTGCCAGACAACGTTCATTAACTCTAAAACATAAGAGAGAAATTTACGCAATTAAGTGATCCATAAGTTAAGGAAGGCAATTTTGTCAGGCCACGGTTTTGAGTACTTGTGAAGGATCCTGTATTTGACCAAGTTTCAGAAGGGAAATAAAAGAAATCTTGGGAACCCTTCAAGGAAATTGTTCGTGAATTTTTATGCAACAAAAAAGATAACAACTAGACGCATTTGGTGACAGTGCTCCTGCAAAAGTACCATAATATTTAATGCCACCCTCACCTACACTTTTTCCGTACAATTTGTGGAGCTGTTAGTGATGAAGAACATGGAGAAAGATTTTATCAAGACATTTCTGTTATGGAAGAAAGATATCAGGGCCATTGGAGTGAAGGAATGGTTGCGGATTACTGTTGGTCTTTGTGCAGGAATGCTCCGAAAATCCCTTAAATGAGGCAAGCCAAAAGACGACAATCTCATGAACCCACCACATAATATCTTCAGACACGACCATATGAGAGGTATTCATCCAGCAATTTAGAACTCTTAGAATTTAACTACCATTTTGAAAAATCAAATGCACTTTCAATGTTGTTAGTATCTATAATTAAAATGTTTTTTTTTTTTTCTATTAACCTCTTAATATGAAATACTTCCACCTAGTGTACATCACAGAATCTAGAGCTAAACAAATTTTTTCATTGTCATATTCGTTTTTCTCAACCCAGAATTATTAAGAATAGAATGAAGGGATGAATGAAGAATAGAATGAATGAAGGGCTGGGAACATTCGAAAATTTGTTTTTTGTTGCTCAGTGTTATCGTTTTGTAGCTTAGGCAATAAATTTTTGAGTGGCATTTTTTTAGATTTTTTTAGTTATTGATTTATCACAATACATTCTAGGTTAGAGAATGCTTAAGTATTCTAATATTTATTTTAGTTATTTTTTTCTAAAAACACAGGTTCGTTGGGGTGTCAGAATTTCAAAACACATAATCTTTTTACTCAACTGAAGGTAAATTTTATTTTATTGCCCAACTAAGCGAAGCGTAAAAAGGGTTATGTGTTTTGTTCGTCCTCTAAAGGCTATGCAGCGCTTTTTTGAGCGAACGGGTGGTTCGATTTTTAAGTTTGATGACTCAGATTATTCTGTAAGATTCTCAGAATTTTTTTAAACATTTCAGCTAAAAATACTGACCGGATATTAAATAAAATGCATTTTATCAATGTGCAAACAATTTGTTACGCTGTTTTGAGCGAGCGGCTGGGTCAACTTTGAAGTTTCATTGCTCAAATAATTCGATGAAATCTCTTGAATGATTAGAAATGCCATGGCATCAAGGCTTTTTGTTTCGAAAATCAATCACACCAAAAGTCTAACTCCGACAATCGGTGAATGTGCTAAGGTGTTCGTTTCTTCGTGTAGGTTAGTCTGTGGACGAATGTTCATAATTACTCAAGATTCGACATACGGCCACAAATCGTTTTGAACTATATTCGCTAAACATTCAGAGGCACTTTCTGCATAGTTTAACGCTGTATTAACTACGGGAATTAGACTACAAAGTGATAGTTCAGTCAGAGAATATGAATTTCAAGTTAATTATACATATTTTAAAAATATGTTAGGCTATAAGTCCCTTTTTTCCCAATCTGCAGGCTTCCTCAAGGTAGTATCCTAGGACCTATCCTTTACACAAACTATACAGCTGATATCCCAACCCATCCTAACACTGCCATCGCCACGTATGCCGATGAAACATTTATCCTATCAGTTAATAACGACCCGTCTATTACATCCCAAACTCTTCAATCCCACATCACAAACTTTGAAGTATGGTCTCAATCAAAACTGGAGAATTAAAATAAATTCCAACAAATCCCATCAAATCACCTTTACCCTTGGTCGTAAACCAATGACTTCCTGTCCTACAGTACCCTTTAAGAAAATATCACTTATCCCTATTGAACAAACCCGATACCTAGGTCTCCACCTGAACAAACGTCTTACTTGGAATCTTCATAAAAAACTTAAACAACAAGAAACCGCTCGATGTTTCCGACTACTTCAGCACTTACTAGACAAAGGCATTAAATTTCCAATTAATTACAAAAGACTCATATATATATATATATGAATATAATAAGGCCTATTTGGACTTACGGAATTGAGCTATGGGGCTGCACAAAACCTTCAAATTCTTCTCGGATCCAACCCTTACAATCCAAAATCCTTCGCAGAATTCTCAAGGTTCCTTACTTTGTTACAAATAAAATCATCCATAATGACCTTAATGTTTTTTTATGTTTTAGATATGGCCCAATCCAGATACCTCTCATTTCATGATAAACTTTATAACCATCCAAACCCTCTTGTTTCTAACCTTGCTTCCTCATCGATTCCTGATAGCCCTCCGATGCGTCTGAAAATAAGATGACCCTGTGATCTCCTAATGTAGACATATTATTAGAGTCCTACCAGTGGTTAGTTTCTCAATTCATTTCATCCATTATCCATTATCCATTTCATCCAAGCGTTTTATGTCATTAAATATCATAATATATAATATAAAATAATATATTGATTTAAGCTGAGGCATCCAATATAATGTTAAAGCCATATTTACAAACTTGATTATTGATAATCTGATGTATATTTTCAGGAAGATGCATATAGTTGTAACAGCTGCTCTTATAATTTTGGTGGCTCACCTGGTCTTGGGGGTGATACTTTGGCTTCGAGTGCGCAAGATATATTGTTATCCTGGACTATTGGGTTTTCCTGTCTTCGGAAACCTCTACTACTTCTACAAAACTCTGTTACCAAGCAATATGGACTGTAAGTAAATAAAAGACATCGGAAATTTAACAAATATGGTTTTTGGATAGTCGAGACAGGTTTGCCGAGCGAGGTAATGCGTACGCACCCTCCACCATGTTAAATCAAAATAGCTATAAGTCTCGGTGCCGGGAAGGACATTTAACTCTAAAAATAATCCCCCGCCCTCACCTCCTGGTCCGGGAAGCCTTAAAGGCCAAGGGTAGGGGAGTAAAAAAAAATGTTTTTTGGATGGTAAGCTACAGCGGTAAATCAAAATCGTCGACCGTTTATTGGCTGCTTCTGTTCAACAAACTAACGATAATGTAAATGAATTTCTTCGGACAGTAGTAACACCACATCTCATTCAACTACCTTTGAAAAAAAAATCTATAATCTTATTAAAATATAGTAAAAATACTGTTAATTGGTAAATTAAAACCTCAATTGTTGTGATTATATTATTTTGTAAATTATTTATTCCCAGAATAGGTAGAGTGGGGTTTCAGGAAAATGAATTACAGGAATACTGTGTATTTTGAGCTTTTGATGTATAGTAACTTTGAACCTGTTTCAGGAACATAAGTAGCCACATTAAAAATAAAATTTCATATATGAATGTAGTGGTTTTCTTTTTTAATTTAATTTATCACAGAACATACAGTGGAGCAAGCCAAGCGACGGATCCGTTGGACATTGGGATAAAGCACAAAAATTAAAATTTAGAAGTTTGATTGCAATATTTACTAATATCGTTTCCTCATTATACCCAACAACAGCCTTGTTGCTGTAAAAGCAGGAGTACCTCAGGGTAGTGTCCTGGGACCAATATTGTTTAATATATATATATATATATGTCTGACCTACCACAACACAGTGACTACAGCCCTACTGGCTACTTTTGCTGACGATATCGCAGATAAAAATCCTATTTGAGCATCCACCACTCTTCAAAACCACTTGAACAATATTGCTGATTGGGCCACAAGATGGAAAATTAAAATGAATGAAAAAAAAAAGTGTGTACGTAGTATTCACTCTTAATCATACCTCTTCCCCCAAAATATATTTTAATAACATTGAATGTAATTAAATATTTGGGTTTTTAGCTCGACAAAAGACTAACTTGGAGGACACGCGTTATACAAAAACGTATGGAATTAAACAGTCGATACGGTCTTTTATCTAGGTTACTTGACCGACGTTCAAAATTATCTTTGACTAACAAACTAACACTCTATAAAGTTTTACTAAAACCAATTTGGACTTATGGCATAGAACTGTGGGGTTCTGCTAAAACTTCTAATATTAAAAAAAACTCCAGTCTTTCCAATCCAAAATTTTAGGAAGAATAGTTAGTTATGTCGCAAACGATACATTACATAAAGACTTGGACATCCCAAACATTTTAGACACTGCAAAAGAAAATTACAGTAACTTTCACCAAAGGCTAACTTACAACACAAATCCCCTGACAGGAAATCTTAAAAGCACTAGAAACCCGCACAGCCCACCTCGACGATTACGTAGGCGGTGGCCAAGAGACCTGCTGAACTGAACTATTTCCTGGATTGTGATGGGACGCTGTGAAGCTGCCAAAAAATTTGCTCATTGCAAAGAAATTTGCAGTTCACAAATTTAATTTTTATGTCAAATTTGATGTTATGTATTAATAATAATAATTAATATAATAAACGATTTTATCACTCATTAATGGATGTAGGAGTGGACGCTGAGGCGTCACTGACATGGCTGCAGAGTGGAAGTATCTTTCCGGAAACAGAAGGATTCTTGTTTGCTATTCAAGAACAGGTAATAGCCACAAAAGCATATAGAAAACATATATGTGGAGAGGGCATCGATGACTTATGTCGCTTATGCAAAAAGGCAGTTGAATCAATTCAACATGTAACATCGGGATGCACAATACTTGCGGGTAAGGAATACTTGCAGAGACACAACAATGCAGCTAAGGTAGTGCATCAAGCTATGGCTCAGAAAATGGAACTCGTCGATAAATATTGTCCGTATTAAAAATACCATCCAGAACCAATTAACTCCATGCGCAATGTCAAGGTGTTCTGGGATCAACAGATCCTGACAGATCACACCATCCCCCACAATAGACCAGACATTCTTATAATAGATAAAGGTAAGCAATCTGCGTTTTTCATAGAGATTGGAGTTCCTTCTGATGATAACCTACACAAGGTAGTAGCGGAAAAAAAGAGAAGGTACGTGGAATTGGCTGAAGAGATCAAACAATTATATCATTTAAAGGAAACCCGAATTCTGCGAATTGAAATCTCGTGCAACCGACTGATACCGGAAGAAACTGTATCTTCTCTGCGACAACTAGAACTACCATCTCAGACGATCGAAAGAATGCCACAAGCGGTGTTGTTGGGAACAGCAAATATAGTCAGGAAGTTCACAAACATTAAATAATTATGAAAATATACAAATGTAATTTTAGGCTGACCTAATAGGTCCCCAACTATTACATATAAACACCATTGTAAATGTAGAAAATAAAGAGATAATAATAATAATAATTTGCATAATGAAATAAGATAAAATTTACAGACAGTATTCGAAATCACAATTTCTGGGTACATTACATGTTCCAGTAATAGACACTGGAGTAGTAATACAGTTTTCAACTCATTAATACATAATAACATCTTATACGTCCTATAGATAGAGCAAATAGAGTGTGATGACTTAACCTCAAGTGATATCATGTCACAATAACCGATGGGTGGTCGGAAGTTTGGTTTCAAAGATGTTTCCTTATAAACTTTCTTTAGGCAATAATCTGAAATTTAGATTCATTCTTTTGCAATCAGCTATTTCTTACAGTGAAAGTGTACAGAATTTGGAGGAGTTTTATATATTTATATAAGTTATAAAGAAGTATAAGTATAAATAAGTATTATATAAATATATAAGTTATAGAGTTTTACATGTTTATATAAGGTATATAAAAAATCTATCAACACCAAAACCTGGGTCAATACTGGTACATCTTTATTATTGATACAATATACGCTGTGAGAATTTGCTTAATTTTTCTTGAGCAACTTTTACTGATGACACCGCCATTATATCATCCGACTCAGATCCTGATATAGCATCCTTAAACCTCCAAAGACACCTTATAGAGCAATGGTGTAATAAATGGCGTATTAAAGTAAATGAATCCAAATACACTTAATTCCATCCAGCTTCCTTTCTCAGACACAGTCCGGTATCTTGGCTTTATCTTAGACAGACGACTAACGTGGAACCCTCATACTAGATTTAAAAGACAAGAACTTAACCAACGATACGGCCAACTATACATAATATTAAATAGAAAACCTAAACTCTCTATTGAAAATAAAATAATTATCTACAAAACAATACTGAAACCTACTTGGACTTACGGACTTGAACTGTGGGGAACAGCAAAATTTTCTAACATCCAACGCATCCCATCCAATCCAAAGTCCTTCGAAGAATAATCGATGCTCCTTTCTATGTAACCAACAAAACCCTACACCATGATCTTAAAATCCAATTTGTCCTAGACTTTATAGCAAAAAATTTCACCAGAACCTTAATTTCATCCAAATTCCTTTGCACAATCCCTATCCAGCAACACCCATTCCTATAATCCTCCAAGAAGGTTAAAACGTCAGTGGTCCCGCGACCTTTTATAGTTTGTAAATATTGGAGTTCTTTTGTTAAACTGTCTATCACCTCTACATTTACATTAATCGATTTATATTAACTTGAGAATATTTATTGGCTTGATAATAAAAAGCTTTTATATATTGTGTAATCCTTAAACATACAATATGCGATGAAATAACACTGTCTCATGTTTAGATATGGTCAATACTTTGGACGTAATGGCAAAACAACATGGAAAAGATGGATTGTGTTTCTGTTGGACTAGTGGCTACAAGCTGACGGTGTTAATCACAAGTCCACATATTACAAAGGTAATATTTCATATATATATATATATATATATATATATATATATATATATGGTTATATATGATCTGCCTATCAGGCTTATAAATTTTATTATTATATGAACACATAATGTTTGTGCAAAAATTCGTATGTAACAATTTTCCATTCATATTCTATATGTGTGTATTTGTATACAGTTTGGATTTAATTTACTATTGACTAATTTACGATTAATGTCGGTTTCGAGAAGATATAGGTGTTGTATATTATCCATTTTATGTGGAATACTTTTGTAACCCATAATTTATATATGAGGAGTTGGTCGGGGGTTGCGGTCAAATAAATACTATTTTACAAATAAGTCCCACTTACTAGATCATTACTTATTCAATTTTCATTTTGTTTGTTCAACTCTCATTTTCTTCATCTATTAACCTACAGTTATCAAGTGTAATCTTTAAAAGTTTGTTGCACACTCATTTCTTATCTTTTATCACAATCTGTTTACTTTTAACTTAGACGCTATTCTCCTTTGTTTTCTATTTTTATTCATACTTATTTTCTATCTTTGTTTGTATCTTCTATATACACTGACAGGCGAAAAATTTTACCCACTTGATTTTTTAATGTTTTCATCTAAAAATATTTCTGCTTTGAATTGGCATATTGTTTTTAATGAATAAATAGGTAATCTTATTGTTTGTTCTCAATTAGGAATGTTGATATAGAAGACAATAACCCTTAACCCTTAATTCAATGAAATGATTCTAGATTCCAATGTTTAATTTCTATGGAATCAAAATGTTTATTCAGTATCATTAGTTCAGTGCCGTTTCTAGCAGCACATTTCTTAGTCTATGGCTTTTAATTTTTTCAAAATTAAGTTTAAAAATGGCTCTTAGTGCTGAGGATGTTGCACGTGGTGTGGCACTTATTGATGATGGACGTTCCATTAGATATGCAGCTAATGCCATCGGAGTTCCATATGAAACTTTACGAGACGCTGTCAGGCGTTTTCGGGAAACTGGTTCTTACAATATAAGGCCCGGTTTTGGACGGGCTAGGGTAATAGAACCACGGGATGACCGGTTTTTGACTTTGAGAATTTTACGAAACCGGCAGCTTACCGTTGTTTAAGCGATTCATCAGCTCGAAGAAGTTCGAGGTGTGCAAATTTCCGAGCATACCGCTCGGAGAAGATTAAATGAGTATGGATTTTTGTCCAGTAAGAGGACCAGAGTTGACCAGAACTCACAGAGTAACACGGCTGGCTTTTGCTCGAGAGCACAGCCATTGGACTATGGACGAATGGAGTACTGTACTTTTTACAGATGAGTCAAGATTCGCTCTTCGATCTCCAGACGAGCGTGAAAGGGTGTGGAGAAGAAGAAACGAAAGATCTGCAGCCTGTAATTTTTTGCAGAGCCAACCTTTCCAACGTGGTTCCTTAATGGGTAACAAGTGGGTGGAATTTTTTGCCTGTCAGTGTATATATAATACTTAATATTTTAACTGCACTGTCACTCACTATATCTCTGAAGTCATCTTATTATTTCTTCAACAGACAATTGTTTCTTATTTAATATCTTCTCATAATTCATTTATTTTCCTTGTTATTTGGCAATGATTACTTCCGATTAACAACAATTGAATTACATTTGTTTTATTATCAAAATTGCATGTTTACGTTTCGGGATATTTACTCCCATCTTCAGAACCACAATCCCAATGATCTTGTGGATACATTGCAAAAAAAAAATTTGAGTTAAAATATAGTGCATGTTACAATACATGTCAGAATTTGGTTGTTACAATAAATTTGTAATTACCTTAAAACTAATGTACTCCATCGTCAGTTTCTAATTCATGTAATCTAGGTATATAACTTCTAGAGAAACATCTTGCTTTTAGACTAATTATTGGATGTCTGCTATAGTTCATACAATTTACTCTTGGATCTGACTGTTTATTTTTTTACTATTGTTGTTAATATTTACTACTTTCCTACCTATACTAGGCACTAGCGGATCCAGGATTCAATTTTTTGGGGGGGGCTTCAGCCCGAAAGCTTTTTATTTCATAAAAATGGCGATAATTACCTTGGAAAAAAAGAACGAAAATTTTTTTTTTTTTTTTTTTTTGAAATCTATTTATTGAATAATAATACAATCAGCCACTGCTGGAGGGCTATAAGCATTAGGGCTAAAAGTTCTCATTCATACAATATATACAAATAATAAAGAAATAAATATAAATATAAGAAGTAAATAAATAATACTGATGAAGAAGGTAAATAAATAAAAAAAAATAAAATAAAATAAAAACTTCTAAACACAATCATAACTATATACAATATATACATTTGCCCAAGAATCTCCGAGCCAGGCTTTTACCTCCACACGCGGAAGGCAAATTAAAAAGAACGAAACTAGCTATCTATATGAAATGGTGTTTAAGTGATTCCTTAAGTCCTTTTAAATGTAATTAAACCAATAATAATACATTAAGAGATAATTTTTTAATATATTTTCGCATAAAACATAGTTATATTTTACCATTTTTGGGGGGGGGGGGCTTCAGCCCGAAAGCCTCCTCCGTAGATCCGCCCGTGATACTAGGTATGGAAAGTATTGCTATCGGGTCAAATTTCCGACATGCGGTTTTCGATCTATACGTTTCAGAGCTCCCTGAGTTCGAAAAACACATTTTTGGCCATTGGTATGTCTGTTTGTTTGTCTGTGCCAAGATTTTATCGGGAACTACTGAACCGATTTTGTTGCTTCTTTTTTTATTTTGTAGGGTTTCGACTACTGATGGCTGTGACATAAATTCATTGCTCCACGCGCAATAGATTGCGCGCAATAAATGAAAAACACGTTTTTCTATAGACTGTTGGGCAAAAACGGCTCTAACGATTTTGATGAAACTTTCCTATAATGTTCTAATCACTGTTTTTTTCAACTTTCGTATATAAACTAAATTCCTCAAAAAATTCAGGAAAAAAAAGTTATAAGGAAAAGAAAAATGTTATGGGGCCTAACTCCATAAGTATATATTATACTGTGAAATTTATAATAAAACTTTTGAAAGGTAATTAAATTACCAATAAAACAAAAAAAAATCATCGGAATCGAACCAGTATTAGCGATGATACAGCTTATTCTATTTTTTACACATTTTTTTATGTGTCCCTGTTGCCACTGAAATTCTGTTGCCCGCATCACACAACATTCACTATTTCCTCTACTTTTAACAAAAATTATTGCTTGACAATACTAAGCTATGGCAAAAAGTTTTTGATCAGCAATATTAGTGAATATTGAATTTTTTACACTGGTCTACCTTAAGCAGGTTCCATTGCCTTAATTTATCAAATAAATCGTACTCAAATCTTTTGTTTGTTTAATTTTCAGGAAAATAAATTTAGTTCAATTCTTTTTTGTTTCTTCATGAACATATGTAAAGATATAAAAACTTTTCTGAAATAGGTAGGAAAGTCGTGTAAGTGGACACACCAGATTTTTTTTTTATGTATCTCCAATTTCATTTCTATTAAATTTTAATTTTGTTTGATATGTTCGTATAATGTGTTTCTAAATGTTTAGTGTCTGTTTTATAATTTACTGTTATTCTATTGTTTTTTTTTGTGATGTATATGACAAAAAAGAAAAAAGAGTTCATTTGTCTTATTTTTACCATGTACCTTTTATATTTTGTAGCCCTGATTAAGACCTGCAAGGTCCGAAACATTGACATAATAATTAAAAATACCGTTTTTTTTTTTTAATTAGTATTTATTTGACAGTACCCTCCGACCAAATCCTTCTCATATTGTATCACGGTCAACCATCTCTACATCATTACAAGTTATATAATGTGTAAAGTTCTAGGGCTTAGTAACAAATCAAACAATTTAAGGTTAATAACCGCAAGTAAGTATCCAACTGACAACCCGAAACGTATCTGGCGTTCATTAAAGTTGATCTCGGAAGTATGGGTTAGAACTGAAGTAAATAGTGATTACTGTTACGGACATCGAACCTTCGGTTGCCTAAACTTTTAATAATCATTAGTTTTATGAACACTACTTGTAATATATTATTAATATATATTGTTTTATTTAGGAAATAGGATTTCATCCCAATCTCGCTGATAAACCTGCTTTCATGTATGGAGGGTCTACTCCCTACATCGAAGGAATTTTTAACAGCGAACGTAAGTATTGAATTGAAATGTTTGAAGGCATTTTTCTAATATAGTAGTTCAATATTAGTCATAAAATCGAATATTGTAAGAAAATATAAATAGATAATGTTATATATATTTATATATATATATATATATATATATATATATATATATATATATATATATATATATATATATATATATATATATATACATTTTATTTAACGGCCCTGCCTTTGGCTATTAGGCCATACATTAAGCTCCTGACAGCCTAATACAATTCCGCCATGATTTAATTGCTTGAATTTGTTCCGATTCCATCAGAATTACTGCAAACTTCTGACAGAGCGGGGCAAACTGGGAGGTGCAAGTCGTACATCTCGTCCTATTGGCAAAGAGGGAACACAGAGCTTTCCATTATTCCAATCCTATGTAAATTCCTTTGCAGGTAATTGTGTCCTGTCGCCATGCGGAAATTCACCACAGATTCTTTCCTATTTTTAGTTTGTTTCATCGGTTCCTCTATTAAAGATTCCCATTTTTTCCCCGCTGCTTGTCGCTTTTGATGATTCGTATTCTATTCCTTGTAAAATGATTTTAAAATTCTTTTCAGTCCACTGATGTTTCTCAAGGTAGTATCCTAGGTCCTATCCTTTGTACAGTTTATACAGCTGACATGACACATGTATCCTATCAGTAAATAATGACCCATCAATTGCATCCCAAATGCTTCAATCACACATCACAAATCTTGAAGAATGTTGTCAAAACTGGAGAATTAAAATAAACTCCAATAAATCCCACCAAATTACCTTTACCCTTCGGCGTAAACCAATGACTTCCTGTCCTAAAGTTTTCATTAACAATACTTCACTTATCCCTGTTGAGCAAATTCACTACCTAGGACTCCACTTGTACGAACGACTAACTTGGAATCCTCATACCTAACTGAAACGACACTAAATTGCTCCTCATACCTAACTGAAACGACATTAAATTGCTCCTCATTTCCGATTACTTCAGCACTTACTTGACAAACGCTCTAAACTTTCAATTAATTACAAAAGACTCATATACATGACTATAATAAGGCCTATTTGGACTTACGGAGTTGAGCTTTGGGGCTCCACTAAGCCATCGAATTCCTCTCGTATCCAATCCTTACAATCCAAAATCCTTCGTAGAATCCTCAATTATCTTTACTTTGTCACAAATAAAATAATCCATAACGACCTTAATGTTCCTTATGTTTCAGATCTGTCCCAATCCAGATACCTATCCTACCATAATAAACTTCAGAATCATCCCAACACTCTCGTTTCTAATCTTGCTTCCTCTTCCTCTTCCTCTTCCTCAAAAAGTTGGCTTTCCTAAGATGGTGATGATTATAAAAATTTCATTTCATAAAAATAGCATTTTTATGAAATGAAATACGGAAATTTCATTTTCGTAAAAATAGCATTTAAGCTCATTGGCTTATAACATAATATTAATATAATCACTATAATAATGTCATATTTCTTTTGTCACAGGTGCGGATGATTTATGGAAACTTAAAAGAAAGGAATATAGCATTTTTTTGAAAAAAACAAGTGTAGACAGAGACTACTTCAATACTTTTATTAAATGCAGCGATAAAATGATCGATTTTATGTTGGCTTCGCCCTCAGCGGCTGATATACATCATGCAACCATTTCACTTATGCTATACACTTCTCTGAGTGAGTTATATAATAAAACATATCATTTAGGTATTATATTTTAGTATTTAAAAAAAAAAAATTATAAAGAAATTCTTTGTTAATTCGGAATATTTTTTCAGGAACCCTATTTGGTAATGAAACCAGTTTAATTTCCCATCCCAAAAATCTCAAACTTATATTATGGTAAGATATAAAATTCATATTTTGTGTCAAATATTTTAAAATATTGTGGATAGCTTGTACAGAATCAGGTGATTAGCAACGCTACGTATGTACACGAAGTATGTGTATATCATGCTTTTATTTTACTAGAATTATGTTTTTATAATGATAACAATAGAGAAATGTTAAAAGAAATTAAATATACTGTCACAGTGAGTTGTAACATATTCATGCGTTGCTAAGCATAAGGTTAGGAAAGGGATTTAAATTAATATTTTTATTTAAAATATTATAAAAATAAGAACATAAATTAAAATCTTATTAACTAGTTTCTTGGTTCTTTCTTTCACCATAAATCCAGAACTGCATTTTATCAATTTTTTTTTAATTATTATTTATGAAATTTACAACTGTACATTAAATATACATTCAGCAAATGTGATACAGATAAATGCTTAACATAAGCCTTGTCTTGTAGAGAATCTACCCATTGGTAGCACACTAATAAAGTTTCTAAATTAGGAGATCACGAGGCCATCTTCTTTTCAGATGTCGAGAGGATTGGGATGGTTCTGAAGCTTATTATGAAAGGATAGGTATCTGGATCGGTCTTTAGCGCTACATTTCCTTATATGGGCTTATATCATTAATGGGAGTTATCGAAAGTCATTATGGGGTATCCCACACTCCTGTGTGTCTGTCCACCCTGGGTATCTCGCATCCTAGTGTGCATTCTAAGTAACCTAGTGTTCCTAGTATTCCTAGTGTTCTAAATCCCCTCCCACACTCCTTGGCCCGGGAAAACCGCGTATAGCCTTAACGACGAGGAAGGGGAGGACACAAAAAAAAAAAAAAAATGTAACTGTTCTGAGTTTCCAATTCCAGTGTTTTCTTTGTTATTTTGAATCTTCGTACCCACTATACCCATTTATCACTGTTGAACGAATCCGATATCTTGGACAAACGTCTAACTTGGAATCCACATACCAGACTGAAACGACAAGAAACCGCACGACGTTTCCGACTACTCCAGCACTAACTAGACAAACGCTCTAAGCATCCAGTTAATTACAAAAGACTCGCATATATCACTACAATAACACCTATTTGAATTTATGGAGTTGAGCTTTGGGGTTCCCCTAAGCCATCGAATTCCTCTCGTATCCAATCCTTACAAGCCAAAATCTTTGTAGAATCCTCAATGCTTTACTTTGTAACGAATAAAATCATCTATAACGACCTTAATGTTCCATATGTTCCTTACCTGGCCCAATCCTGATTCCTATCCTTCCATAAAAAACTTCAGAACCATTCAAACCCACTCGTTTCTAATCTTGTTTCCTCCTCGATCCCTGATAACCCTCTGAGGCGTCTGAAAAGAAGATGGCCTCGAGATCTCCTGTTGTAAATAAATTTTTAGAGTGCTACCAGTGGCTAGTTTCTCAATAAGTGATATAATTTTATTATAATCTTGTGTTAACATTTACTGAATGTATTTTTATTTCTAATACAGTTGTAAATATCATAAATAATAAAAAATGTATTCGTTTTAATTTAAAGTATGTAATAATTTTTAGATATTTTGTGACTCTTAAACGATAACATCTAGAACATAGACAGGGAAATTTGTTATCATAAGAGCTCGGAATTAAATTAAGAAGTAGTATTTTTTTTTTTTTATGGTACACAGTTAAAAAATTGTTTTTCTATAAAATAAATATAAATTTTAGTTTTCATAGTACCGTAATCTGTATAATTAAATATTAGTTAATATCATAGTTAGCTTTTATGAAAGTTGAACGAAAACTCTCGAAAATGTACCCGCATGTTCCCCATCTATGTTCTAGAGTAATTCGCAATGTCCAAACATCAGCACTGAAGAATATAACATTTTTTAGGATGAACAATTTAATAACTTACATTATGGTTAATCCGAGATTAGCAGCGCTATTTTTAAGTATTTTTCGACGAGTAGACGGATTGTTCTTTCCAAAAGGAGCTGAGTTGAGGACTTGGGTAAATGTATTATTATCATCAATATTATCAATTATTATTAATTATAAAATTCTAATCCAGTATTAAATTAAATAGCATCCTTGTTTATTGAATAGTATGGGATATTACTTATAATGCCTTTATAAAAATAAATCATTTCGAAGATTTCCATCACCGCTAATGCCGAAACAAAATCAGGAATAAAATTGAGATAGAACGAACATTATAACAAATAAAGAAAAATCTGGTGCGCTCAACACATAACTTTCACTTACCGCTCTACTTTGAGTAGAAATTATTTCCTGGCAATATCAGGCTGCTTTAAAATTTTTAAAGTGCATTTTTTAATGGAGCTACAGCTTGAAGCTTACACCTAAAAAATCATTAAGACCATTAAAATAACAAAAACTCTATTAATTATATCAACTGTAGGCAATAAAAATCTCGTTACTATATTTGTTTTTGTAAAAAACAACTTTATATATATACCTAGAAAGATTATAAAATAAATCTGTATATTCACCCTATAAATGATTATGTACTGTACGCCTGTTAGTTCTCAAACTGTTATATTCCTTTGTAAAGTTTGCTAAACTGAAATTACGAGATTTTCATTTCCTGCAATAGAAAGGTCAAAATTTGTCACACTAATTTTAAGTGGATAATGACAGAATTTTAGAAAGGGAAAATTCATCAAATTATTCCCTAATATAATTTTTTAAAAGTTACGTTTTTTTTAATGATTTTTTTTAATAAACGATAAAGGCCGATAGATACCTAATTATTTAAATATTGTATCTTATCTAGAGTTATTAAACTACAGTAAATGTATTTGAGGTTATAAACATATCCAACAATTATTTTTATATTTCACTTCTTCTTTCACACAAATAGAATGAAATAGTTTTTAAACAATATCATAGCCTTGATTAGATGGATTTTAATTTTTTTTTTCAAACTTTAAAAAATATTTTACAAGTTTAAATTTAGTTAGTATATTTCATTCAATTGCCTTAAATACATGTGTTAAATAATATTAGTTTTCACAAATTATAATTAATATATTTTCGTCACTTTCTATTATCTTCTAAGACTTTCTATATTCAATATTTTTTTTTCTAAAATTCTCCGCTTTCCAACGATATATTATACGTATACTTTCTGACTAGTATTTCCAGTCAGTAGAGTCAGGCTATTGAATATTGTTTATTTTAATTTCTATAACTTGAAAAAAGTATCCTTCAGTAATAAAACATTCAAGACACTATGGAACCAATATTAATTACTAGTAAATATCATAATAAAAGACTACTAAATACCTAATGTATTGTATTTTTTTTTACTAATATTACCTTTTAACTATATTTATATCATTTTCATTATATAACGATTGGATGACTGAACATTGTACCATGGAAATTATTTGCTGGGACCAACTAGTTAGGTTATAATAACATTTTATATAATATTCCATTCTGTAATATATTGTATGCTGTTTCAGATTTTGGAAAATTCAATTAAAACAGTTAAATCAAGCAAGGGTCCTACACCAGGTAAGATTATTCGGTTCATTTTAAAACGGTCACAATAGTGAGAACTTATATATAATGTCTGTTTAATAAATAGCTATCTTTATGCTGGTACATTTTGTATTCGCACTGCCGAAAGTAGGTAAGCTTTATATTTTTGCAAGACGTTAAATATATATATATATATATATATATATATATATATATATATATATATATATATATATATATATATATATATATATATATATATATATATATATAAATTCAGTCTGGCTTGGGGTTTACTGCTTGATTGTATTATAGGTATGACTGAGTTTTTATGTTTTTAATTTATTTATCTTTAGGTTATTTTATTTTTTATTGTACATAGTTTTTGATTATTATTTTACTTTTGTTAATTTTATATTATATATATATATATATATATATCGTATGAATGTGTTCATATATCACTATAATTATTGTCCACGTGACAGATTGTTATATTTCTAAATAAATAAATAAAATCAAAATCTAAAATTTTCACTGAAGTTTTACGTTTCGGACTTCAAGGAAAAAATTTGGATCTGAATCTGTGTGAAGTCAAATATAAGTATAAGTATAAGATGGGCATATCATCTGATTTCCTTAAAATTTTCATGGATTGTGTTGTTTGTTGCCAACGTGGTGCCATATCAATTTCGTCTAACTCCATCGAATCCATACGTAAATTCATTTTCTTAGATATAATTTTCTTTCAAAAACGGCTCGTTCGATTTGGCACAAAGATGGAAGAAAGTCATAACCCATAGGTTAGTAAAGAGAAGTTGGTGGGAGTTTTCAGTCAATGAAAGTACAAAATATATAATGTTTGTTTATTTATGTATTAAGTATATAATTATATTTATTTTTATTACTTTCACTTACATGTATATGTAATATATAGTAAGGGTAAGTATTGAGATCGTGAAATTTTTTGGATCTGAGTTTTCAACGGAAATACACGTTTTGAGGTCCCCTTAGTCCAAATAACCAAGTCCCGCAAAATGTTCAGTGTGTATGAGAACAGTATAGCTCAAAAACAAAAAGTTGTACGAAACTGATTCACGTATTTAAGATAAGTACATGCCTTAGATGTGACAGTAAATTTTTCCTTAAAATCCGGAAGTGCCACTTCATATCAATGATGAAACACACTTTTACAGTTTTCTCAAAAATGGCTCCAACGATTTTTATCAAACTCGGTGTATCATTGTATAATTAAGTGGTCTTTAGTATCATTTAATTCTTATCACCATTGATGTCATTTTACAGGGCTTAAATGCCCAATGTTGATAAATGTCTTCCTCTAAAGTACCTTTAATATGGTTCATTTCATATAATTAATTAATCTTCCAGTTATCAAGTTACGAAAAAAATACTAAATATAACTTTTGGAAGAATTTGATAATTGAATAAAGGGGAAAAAAAAAAATGCTTACCCAGGTCGAAAATGAATCTCCGGAAATACTAGTTAGAAGGTATACGTATAATACTTGGAAAGCGGAGAATTTTAGAAAAAGTAACATTAAGTATATAAATTTGTAGAAGGTAACGGAGATTGACAAAAAAAATATAAGTAATAATTTCTGAAAACTAACATCATTTAACATAAATCATATGTTTCAAAGGAAATAAATGAAATTTTCTTATTAAGTACAAATTTTAAATTTTTTTCTGAGTTTGAAAAAAGTATTTAAAATTCACCGAATCGAGCCAATGCTGTTGTTTAAAATACTATTTCATTGTACTAGTGTAAAAGATGACCTATCCATAGCGGGCAATGAAAATCTCCTAATTTCATTTAAGTAAACTACAATGTAAAATAACATTTTAATAACTAATAGTCCTACAATCCATAATCATTTTTAAGTTAAATATTCTGATATACTTTCAAACCTCATATATGAGCCTTTCGGTTTTCAGAATGACCAATATTGAAATGACCCCATTTCAATATTGTTTATTATTAATTTTAATAATATTTATAGTGGCAAAATTTATACCTTTATTCACAGTCCTATATTTCACCATTGCAATCACCTGTACCTAGAATCAACTTACTCACTGTCTGTATAGATGAGGGTAGATCGCTTAAAGGATATCGAACGTAGTAAATATAATTTCTTTACTTTGTACTTTCATGAATCGAAAACTCCAAAAAAGTAAGAACTAAATTTGAAAAAAGTATATCTTCAATATTTCTTTTAAAGTAAAAAATTATCCGCTATCGAAATAGTTAATGATAATTATCTTTTTATAAACGGTTGTTTCCTTGACATTTGTAAGTATTTCACCATCAGGCTTATTTTTTTTTTTGCATCTGGAACTGCAGATTCATGTTGATAGGAAAAAAAAATTATCAATTAGTGGAATTTTTGCATATTTGGTTCGTCTCTTTCAATTTTATTTATTCAAATAAGTCGCGAAGTTTTACCTCGGCCATTGGAATACAAGTTATGTAACCATTGATAAAAGTATTGATATATTATAGTTTGTACTATTCATCAATAATATTTTTATTTTATTTTAGATAAAGAAAAGAACCTGTCACTGCAGATTACATCAAGATCATTGAAGTGTAATAATAGTATAAACGTCTTGATAAAGGAGCTACAGGAATTGTTCTTGATAGTATGTACTAAGATTTGCATGTTAGTGTTATTATTATCATGGCTATTCAATCTGGCCACCTCTAACATCTTCTAACAATTTTCTCGGTCTCTTGCAGCCGCTATCCGATTCTGAAGCCTCGGTATATTTTATGTACCATGGCATCTCTTCTCATGGTACCTTCGAGTGGCTCCACCAGAAGTTGTATTGGTGGTTTCTCACGATGTGTCATACTCATTTCAGTCTTGCAATCTTCATCACTTGAACTATATCTGGTTCTTTAAACATGGTGTATAGCTGCTGGTGGATTTGTACACGCCTTCGTCAACTAATTTCCGGGAAAACCCAGCTCATTCATAAACTTTCAAAGACAGTTTCTGTCCACGGAGGCATAGGCTAATTTGAAGTCGACAAATAAGGCGTGCACGTCCTGATCTACTTCCCACCGTTTTTCGAGTACTTGGATTAGGATGAATATCTGATCTATCGTACTCCTCTGAATCCTTCTTGGTCGTCGCTTATTATGTTTTCATAATACGGATATATCCGACTTAGGAGAATATTAGCCATTATCTTATAGGCAACCGGTGCAATGACTCTGTAATTACCACATTCGTACGTGGAACCCTTCTTAAGGCATAGGACAGATCAGCTCTGTGTTCCAGCTTTGCTCTGAGGTGTTCTCCCCCATCCTTGTACAATTCTGATGGTAGGTTGTCCACCCCGGGAGGCTTTCTTCTTTTAAGCCTGTCGATAGCTATTTCCACATTCAGGATTTCGGATCTTTTCTTTTGATGACGTCAATTTGCCATCTTTACCTCGCATTCGTGTATTTCTCGCTTTATATCCTACCCTTTCTTTCCTGATATCTGCGAAGAATTCGCATATATTTTCAACCTGCCAGTTTTCCTAATCTTTCGTTGAGGATATATATATATATATATATATATATATATATATGTAACTTTGAAGAATTTAGATACTTCTCCTTGTATTAGGACTCTACATTTGGGGTCATTTGCACACGCCTCTTTCTCTCTCTCTCTCTCTCTCTCTCTCTCTATATATATATATATATATATATATATATATATATATATATATATATATATATATATATATCCTCAAAGAAAGATTAGGAAAACTGGCAGGTTGAAAATATATGCGAATTCTTCGCAGATATCAGGAAAGAAAGGGTAGGATATAAAGCGAGAAATACACGAATGCGAGGTAAAGATGGCAAATTGACGTCATCAAAAGAAAAGATCCGAAACATATGGAAGGAACACTTCCAGCAACTCCTTATTCAAGGTCATCCCAAAAGCAAAGAATACATGGATAATAATGGACTGAGGACATCGACCCACTCGAGATTGAAAAACCAGATATCCTGAATGTAGAAATAGCTATCGACAGGCTTAAAAGAAGAAAGCCTCCCGGGGTGGACAACCTACCATCAGAATTGTACAAGGATGGGGGAGAACACCTCAGAGCAAAGCTGGAAAACAGAGCTGATCTGTCCTCTATATATATATATATATATATATATATATATATATATATATATATATATAGAGAGAGAGAGAGAGAGAGAGAGAGAGAGAGAGAGAAAGAGGCGTGTGCAAATGACCCCAAATGTAGAGTCCTAATACAAGGTGAAGTATTTAAATTCTTCAAAGTTCGAACGGGCTTACGACAGAGAATGGACTATCACCGATGCTGTTCAACTTATCCCTGGAGAAGATAATATAGTAACAACATCTCAGAAAAATGGAGGGGTCCATATCGGAATGAATCATAAAATCTTTGGATATGCAGATGATATATGATATGGCCTTGAAAGTCATCAAGAGAATATCAAGAAACTCGATGAGACTCTGATAAGAAATGCAGAGCAGATCGGCCTACAAGTAAATGAAGATAAAACAAAATATATTATAATAAGCCCAAAATTCGATACACGTAGTAAAATAACACATACATTATAACATAATAACAAATACACACATAAAAAAAATAATGCAGCAAGTAGCTCAATGCAATAAGTCTCTTGGCCAGCGCCTCAGCAGTCTTCTGGGCGGATTATATGGATTTGTGGCAGTAGATGGAGCTTGAGTAAGTGGATTGGAATTTAGAGTCAGTCTGTCATGAAAATTATTGAAGCGGTCAGTGGCAGTTGCTGCGATGAAAGGAGTGTGTAACGTGAGGTTTGAAACATAAAAGGGTTCATCTACAATTTTCCGAAGGACTTTTGACTGGAATGACTGGATGATTTTTATATTTGATTTCTTTGCTGTTCCCCATAGTTCGATCCCATATGTCCATAGTGGTTTAGTGAGGACTTTGTAAATAGTTAATTTATTACTCACAGATAATTTAGAACGTCTGTCAAGTAGTCTAGAAAGAAGTCCGTATCGCTGATTAAGTTCTTTTCTTTTTTGTTTTATGTAGTATGTCCATGTCAATCGTTTATCCAAGCGGAGACCCAAATATCGTACAGTTTTTGAAGGTGGTACAGCAATATTACTAAAGAACACTGGAGGACAAGAGTCATTTTTAAGTGTAAATGAAACAAATTGGATCTTAGAATCGTTCATTTTTATTCTCCACCTTTTAGCCCAACAAGCTATGTCGTCTAGGTGTTCTTGAAGTACCTGAGGAGCCTTTGCTGCATCCTTGTTAGATGTTAATATTGCCGAGTCATCAGCAAATGTAGCCAACAGTGTTTCAGAATGTTGTGGGATGTCTGCACAGTAAATGGTGAAAAGTGTTGTACCCAAAACACTGCCTTGAGGTACTCCAGCTTTTATTTGTTTGATGACAGAAAACTCAGTCCCCATTTTCACACGGAAAACTCTATCTTTTAGATGAATGAATGAATAACAAACGGATAGAAATAGAGCAGTGTATAACTAATGCAAACAGAACTTCCTTCTCCCTTTCAAAAGTATTGAAATCCCGAAAAATCTCAGATTAAGGGTGTACAATGAAATGATAAAGCCAGTTTTAATAGATGGCTCTGGGAACCTGGGCACTAACCAGCACCCGAGAAAAAAGTGTTGAAAGATTTGAGAGAAAATTCCTACGCACAATAAACCTAGCGATCTGGGATAAAAGTACACATGTAGAAGAATAACCAAAAAAGATCTGCTTACAGAAACTGCTCAATCAATATCCCATGATCTGAAGGCAGGAAGGTTAAGATGGGTGGGGCTTGTGGCTCGTAAAAAGCCATCTGGAAGCCTCTACGTAACAATGAATGCCTCAATAGGAGGTAAAACACGTGAAAAGTCGAAAATCAAATGGATAGATACAATCAATAAATATACAATAGAGCTGCGTGCAGATAACTGGAAAGATATAACTCAAGATAGGCAGAAATGAAGTATGCTTGTTAAGGCGGCAAAAGATCTACATGGTCTTATATATATATATATATATATATATATATATATATATATATATATATATATATATATATATATATATATATATTTATTTTAATAGTTTTTAATTTTATCTAAGAAACTAAATTTAATTTATTTATATTTGTTTTTACCTAGGACTCCATCTGTACAAACGTCTAGCTTGGAATCCTCATACCAGACTCATACTCAAACGACAAGAAACAGCTCAACGTTTCCGACTACTCCAACACTTACTAGACAAACGCTCTAACCTTCCAATTGATTATAAAAGACTCATTTACATGACTATAATAAGGCCTATTTGGACTTACGGAGTTGAGCTATGGGGCTCCACCAAACCTTCAAATTCCGCTTGCATCCAATTCTTACAATCCAAAATCCTTCGTAAAATCCTCAATGCTCCTTACTTTGTTACAAATAAAATTATCCATAATGACCTTAATGTTCCTTATGTATCAGATTTGGCCCAATCCAGATATCTGTCCTTCCATAGTAAACTTCATAACCATCTCAACCCTCTCGTTTCTAACCTTGCTTCCTATTCAATTCCTGATAACCCTCCGAGGCGTCTGAAAAGAAGATGGCCACGTGATCTTCTAATATAAACATATTATTATAGTGCTACCAATGGGTAGTTTCTCAACATGTGTTATATTATATCCATGTGCGAATTTACCAGATGTATTTTTTGTATACAGTTGTAAATATCATATAAATAAATTTAAAATATATATATATATATATATATATATATTTGTTTTTGTTTTTTCAGTCCACGCATACTCTTACTGGTGCTTTGGCGAGCTCGATAATTTTTTTAGCGATTCAACCTGATATGCAAGAAAAAGCTTGGAAAGAACAACATGAAATATTTGGTAATGATGAAAGAGATCCAACCCTTGAAGATATGGAACGAATGGAGTTCTTAGACAGGTATATCTCACTCAATGTCTTTTATGATACATTGCTATATCATAGCAAGCACACTATATCCACAGTTTTATATTTATGTATTATATTTATATGTTGAACTGTATGAGCCCAAGCGGGCCGTGTTAGCGACGACTGATATATGTATATATATATATATATTGTTCTGTTGACTATAAAGACCTAGTGGATCTCTGATCGCCCGGACCAGCTATGTTCACCTCTGCTTGTCTTTAGTAGTTAATGAAACTGAGTCAGGCTCGGATGTGTAACGCTCACTTGGATAAAGTCGGCTCTAGTAAACTAATTGAAGTGTTTTTGCTAATGGACTAAAATTATCTCACGAACTAAAAATTGAACCTTTATACTGTAATCGAGGGAATTGTTCAGCATTTCATCCTCTTTGTAATGAGCTATAATTCAAAATTGTATCTTAACGTGACGCCGTGTCAGAAATGGAAAACGATAGTGCCAAAATATCAAATTATTTATTTATTTGATGTTTTGTTGCCTCTACCCTGTAGAGTTATTGGCAAAACCTTTAAATTACACTCTGTTGTAGAGTTTTATCACTTTTAAAAACCTTAAAGTTTTTTTTACTGCACTTTAACTGTCTTGTAGATTTTCTTTTAGAATCTGTGCCATGTCTATTTTGGTTTATTTTCAATAATGAAACATTGTGATCGACCGAAAAATTCAAAAACATAACCCCCTCTCAAAATTTGAGGTTTCACGTTTCAAGATGCGTAGAATTCGAAAAACGAATACAAATTTTTTTGTCCGTCCGCCGTCCGCGCATTTTCTCCGAAACTACTGGTCCGATTTTTTTTTCAAATTTTGATATAAAATCAGAGGTCACCCGAGGATGATCCTCCTTCATCGATATTACTCTCCGCCTTTACCTTTCAAAATGGATGCCGAAAAACCTGGTTTGCTATAGACTGTAGCTCCTAAAGGAATGTACAGATTTCAATGCAACTTCGCTAAAGTCATTTTCTCGACGCCCTTGAAATTTATCTATATAACATATTTCAACGAAAAGAAGCTAGAAAAAAAGTTAAAAGGGATGGTAAAATTAAATTCCGAATAACTCGAAAAGTTTTTACTTTTTTGTTGATATTGTACAGTTTTTTAAAAGTTTACGAAATTTCCTAAAAAACAAAAAAAAAATTCGTTAAAATCGGACAATTAGGAGCAAAGATATGGTCTCCGGTTTTTTTTTTATGCGTTCTACTCCAAATGTTATATCCTTGGTTTGGTTTTTAAATTTTAAATGTGTTACTGAACTATTTCTATTTTTTTTTAGCATATTACTAATGATAAAAGAAACAGTTTAGTCCAATAATTGGAATCACCTTTTGTTTTTTTTTTCTTTGTAACTCGGAAAGTAATGTTACTTTAAATGTATAATTGTTTGGAGATAATAAACCATTGTGAAATAATTTGCAGCGTTTTTTCCTTGTAGGTTCAAATGTAGCACAGTCTTGAATAATATGCTTTACTGTCCTTTGGACATTGCAGCTCTCGCAGATCGGAGGATCAAGTCCTCTTAGTAGGTAAGAGTGCGGGAACTCGTAATGTCCAGTTCGTAATCTGCAAAGGGCTCTCTCCTCTTTTCGAGAGGATCGGCGAGAGGTTTCCCATTTTAAACAGTGGGGTTTAATCTCCTTTAATTTCGATTCTTCTTGTTCCCACTTGTTTTGCCACATGTTCCACACATTCTCCTTAATTTTTTTAACGTAATCCTCTAGAGGGATTTCATTAATTGATTTCACGGATGTTGTATCTGGCTTTTTTGCCATGTTGGATGCTTGATCGGCTCGTTCATTACCGATGATCCCGCAATGCGAAGGGACCCAAATGAACACTACTTCTTTGCCCTTCTATCTTAATAGCCATCAAATGTTTCTTACATTTTTCGCGAGAGTGGTTTTGGGCCTTGTATGTTCAATGGCTAGTAGTGAACTCATAGAGTCTGTCACCACTGCCCAATTGATAGTTTCACTTGTCTCTATGTGTTTAAGAGGTTCTCTAATTGCTAGATTGTTTTGAACATTTCGATTAAAATATCTCAAATTTATATTACCATGGAGAAACCTGAAAATGATTTTTTTTTTTTTTAATGAACCATAAAAATAAGATATTATTTGTTTCTAGTCGATTTTCCGTTGCATTTCTACTCTGAATCAGTTTTACCGTCTTCACTACCTGCTTCCATATAAATCCCGTCAACTCCTGGTTTCCTCTGTTGTGTTTTCTCACTTCGACTATGGCTGTCTGATGTACGGCGTATTCTCGGGAGAATTCGAGGCCAAACTTAAACGCCTAATTAATTTGACAATACGTTTTTTTTTTCAGAATCTCAAGAGATCCGCATATAATAAGTTGAAGTGGCTCTATCTATCCAACCGCCGTCTGTACTTCCTTGCTACCTTTCTATACCAAGCCATCAGACCTTCCTATATTTTTCACAGCCTACAATTTAAATATTCCATTCAATCCCGTCCCACTAGATCCTGTACTTCTGACCTCCACATCCTCACCGAACTGCTGCGTTTGACAAATCCTTCATTGACAAAGGTGTTTTTGATGCATTGATTGTGTTAATCATTTGTATCTATCTTTTCCCTTATAAAAATAGATTTTGACGACATCACAGATGACGAGAATTTCCTCGATTTAATTGCATTTTTACTAATGGAAACAAAAGTATATCATCCCCAGATGAACCATTTTTTCTTGATGTCGAATTTTTTGATAGATTTAGATAGACATTTTTTTTATATAATTAACATAAGTTACTGGTAGATTAAGCTCAGATAACTGAATCTTTGTTAAAACCGTGAATTGTGCAACTGGCCCTAAAGGTAACATTATTCCTAATCGTCATTAATGAAGTGGCCACGGTTTTGAGAAAATTATGAGAAACTAACGAATGTTGTTTTGTTCACAGATGGTATCCTGCTATTTACTCTTAGTAAATCGATTAATTTCATTGAATGGAAGATTCAGGAACTTCTAAACAAACCAAAGGAATGGTCGAGAAGTAATTTCGTAATTAATTCTGCATCGAAAACAAAGTCCCTGCATATTTGCCGTTTGAAAGGTTGCTTATGCGCCAATTATACAATATTGTGCAATGCCCCAATTATAGTTAGGAACAAATAACATATCGATCGTTGATGAGCGGAAATATTTTGATATGTGCCTAGAGAAGCGCTTAATTTGGGCTAATTATATTGAACGTTTCAGAGATAGTTGAACAACAAAGGGTTAGGTTTTACTTTCACTTACCTTTATATATAATGTATAGTAACGAAAAGTATTGCGATCGTGAAAATTTTCGAATCTGAATTTTCAACTAAAATATACGTTTTGAGGGCCCCTGAGTCCAAATGACCAAATCCCACAAAATGTGGGTGAACAGCCTAGCTCAAGGACGAAAACCCGTACAAAACTGAAATTGCATATTTGAGGTTTTTATAAACCTAGGATGTTGCAACATTTTCTTCAAAATCGACAAACCGGAAGTGGTACTTTATATAATCGATTTAACACATTTTTACGATTTTCTCAAAAAATTTAGAGCCTTTGATACAAAAAATAGTTAAATATAAAATATGAAAGAATTTGATAATTAACTAAAGAGATATAAGAGATCGTCACAGGCGGATCTACGGGGGGAAGGGGAGGCTTTCGGGCTGAAGCCCCTCCCCTCCCTAAATGGTAAAATATAATATCTCTTAAAGTATTCTTGTTCATTTAATTACATTTAATAGGACTTCAAGAACCACTTAAACACCATTTCATATAGGTGGTTAATTTCTTTCTTTTTTTTCATATTAATTATCGTTATATGTATATGAAAAAAAAATCTTTCGGGCTGAAGCCTCCCCCCCCCAAAAAAAAATAAAAATTTAATCCTGGATCCGCTAGTGGAGATCGTAACGGACAATAATTGTAATGGAAGAACCAAAGAAATACGGGCGCTTCCGAGCTCACCCGATAGAGTACATACTATTATGTACATATGCATATGCTGTTTTCATAAATGCTATAGTTGGTATTATTTAATATTTAATTGTGTAGAATACAGCGTTGTAAAAATTAAAATTAGCCTTCAATACAAATTAAAATTGGTCTTAAATTACAATAAAAATAAAAATACCAACAATATGTAAATAAATGTAGCGTCTATAATTTTTACTTTCTCTTCGTCTTTGTCTGAAAATACTAATTTCTGCTAAGAAGAGGTTGGTAAGTGAAAATGGTGTGATTCGCGTACCAGATATTTGTTTTTGGTGAATATCGAGCTTCGCCCGTTTCATTCTTCGAAGAAATAGTTTCTTAAGTCTTCTCTGATAAAAATTTCGTGTTTTTAATTTCCAACTCCAATCGTGTCCATTGTTATTCCATGACATCGTGGTGACTATCGTGGAGTTTGTATAACTTTGGGGCTATATAACTTTATGAATTTGTAGTAGTTTTTATAACTTTATGAATATGTTAAATAAATTTAAATTTTATTTTTTGATTATTTATATTGTTGATTTCATTTAAGGTTCATAAAAGAATCTTTGAGGTTTGCCGGCCCTTCATTTTTAGGAAAGTTGGCTACTGGAGATATAAATATAAGTGAGTAATATTTTGTCATATTAATATTTCTTAATAATTTTCTAGGTTTATATTGTTTTATAATATGAGATTAATAATAATAATAATAATAATAAAAGGCTTAGCGAACCCGAAGGTTCGATGACGACACCACCAATCGCTTATTACACACCTCCCTCCACCGTTCGCCGTCCCAACCCAGTCCCTTCAGATGCAGTCCCTTCCAAACCCTTTAATGCAATCTTCCCACCTTCGCTTCGGTCTAACCCTCGGACGCTTACCATTCGGCATAGCAAATATTAATCTTTTAGGAATTCTCTCGTTACTAAGCCCAACAATTTTACAAGCCCATTTGATTCGTCGCGACGAAATTACTTCAATTATATTACCCGGATACAGTTCATGCAATTCGGCGTTGTGTAACCGCCTGAACTCTCCGGTTAACTCATCCTTCTTCGGTCCGAATATTCTACGCAATACTTTATTTTCAAAAACCTTAAGACGCTGCTCATTCCTTAATGTAAGCGGCCAAGTTTCGCATCCATAAAGAAATGTAGGCAAGATTATTGTTTTATAGATTCTAATTTTTAAGTTCCGGGACAAAAAGCGCGAACTGAGTAGTTTTGTCACAGAAAAATAACAAGCATTTCCCGCCTTCAGTCTAAGCTTAATCTCTTCTTCAATTTCATTTTTTCGAGTTATCGTAGAACCTAGATACCTAAATTTATCTACCTGTTCAAACAAATTACCATCTATATCGATATCACCAGTAGTATCACCATTTTTGCAGCTAACCATATATTTTGTTTTATCCACGTTTATTTCGAGTCCTAGTTTTTTACCGGCTTTCATTAACGTTGTCGTATTTAGTTTTTTATAATATGAGATTAGTGCAATTAATTGTTCAATGCCAATTTCGTAAAACTTAAATATTAACCATAAAACATGTTTTGGAAGAATGCCCTTTTTACACCGGAAAGACTTGAACAACATATATGACAAGTTTATGAATTATAACCTTTTGCTTCATAATAATAAATTATAATTATTATTATTTTTTTTTTATTGATAACCAGAAAAAACAAAATTGAAGAAGAGATTAAGGTCAGACTGAAGATGGAAAATGCTTGTTATTTTTCTGTGACAAAATTACTTAGCTCGCTCCTCTTGTCCCGGAACTTAAAAATTAGAATCTATAAGGCCATTATCTGACCTACAGTTCTATATTGATGTGAAACTTGGCCGCTTACATTAAAGGATGAGCAGCGTCTTAAGGTTTTTGAAAATAAAGTAGTGCGTAAAATATTCGGACCGAAGAAAGATGAGTTAACCAGTGAGTTCAGACGGTTACACCGAATTGAGTGAACTGTATCCGGGTAATATAATTGAGATAATTTCATCGCGGCGAATCAAATGGGCTTGTAAAATTGTTGGACTTAGTAACGAGAGAATTCCTAAAAGATTAATATTTGCTGTGCCGAATGGTAAACGTCCGAGGGGTAGACCGAAGCGAAGGTGGGAAGATTGCATCAAAGCCGATCTGAAGGTACTGGGTTTGGACGGCGAACGGTGGAGGGAGGTGTGTAATAAGAGATTAGTGGTGTCGGCATCGAACCTTCGGGTTCGCTAAGCCTTTTATTATTATTATTATTATTATATTATTTTTTTTATTTATTTATATATTTTATTTACTTTATTTCATTTAATTTTTTTATTTTAAAAGTTCATTTGGTTATTAATTTCAACTAATTTATTGATTTTATTTCTATTTTTTTATAAGTTTATTTATTTATCTATTCTATCATATTATCTATAAGTGTCTATTGTTATTTATTTATTTCATTCTATCAATCCTTTTATTTAATTATGTTATTTATTTAGTTATTAGTTATGTTATTTATTTATTTATTAATTTATTTAGTTATTTATTTAATTATGTTATTTTTATTTATTTATTACATTCTATCAATTTTTTTATTAATTATTTTTATTATTATTTTGTGTACCAACCATCCAAATAATAAAAAAGGAATGTTATTTAATAGATCGGGCGCTGATGACCTGGATGTGTTGAGCCTAGACATCGAAACATACAAACAAACAAAACTTAAATATGTAAGCAAATGTTATTTTGATAATTATCTTTTTATCTTCAGATGGAATTACAATTCCTGAAGGGGCTGGTGTAGTTTTTCTAATTAGATGTATGAGGATGGATCCAGAATACTGGAAGAACCCAAAAGTTTTCGATCCGGATCGATATCTGGATGAAGATGAGACATCGAAGCTTTGTTATGCACCCTTTGGAGTTGGTGTACGAGCCTGCCCTGGTAAATATTTCCATTTATTGACTAATGCATATTTACTGATACAATACTGAAAATACTTTATAATTTAATCTTTCAATATAGGAGACATTTTTCTCTTTAGAAGTGTCAAATTGATCTCCGGGAAATCTGAATTGAAAGACCAAAATGAAATTAGCTTATTTTTTACTTTATATATATATATATTTCTTTTACATTATTCAAATTCTCTAAAAGCAGCGCATCATTTACGAGTATAAAACAAAACGTGACCGTATAAAAGTTAAATATAAAAAATCTGGTGCGCGCATCACACAACTTTCACATCCGCTCTAATTCGAAAAGCAATTCTTGTCTGGCAAAGTTGGGCTATTACAAGAATTTTCTAAGCATATTTTTAATGAAGCTAAATTTTTAACATGTTTTTTGAATTTCGGTCATATTCGTCAATAACAAATCTTATTAAGACCGTCACAATAACAAAAAACCAATTTATAATATCGAATGTAGCCTGTAAAAACCTTATATTTAACTGCATCACTCCATTCTATGAGCACTTTAGATTATGTGAGATTTTAAAGTACATATATTTAATTATGAATAAGTAATGGTGTTGCCCAAATGCGAGACCGAGACGAGTCTTGGTCTTGTAAACTCAGTCTTGCGCAAGACTCTTGAAGTTACTTATTAGCTTATTACTATAGAGATATTACTGTATTTTTTTTAGATAGGAGAAACCTAACTAAGCCCGAATGAAAAATTAGAGGAGTTAATGCAAAAGTATATTGGTTATACCAATTATGAACATATAGTAATTAAGATTGTCGAGTATTTGTAACTATTTTGCCTTAATTTTAATTAAAAATATAGATTTTTTTTTTACCAGTCCCTGGTCGATTTTACATGGGGTTTTGCAAGACCGATGGGCATGGGGGTTTCCGAGCTCGTTGAATATGGTAAGAACGTTGATCGCCGAAGCCCAAGTTGCAGAGTACCGGAGACCGCCGAGCATTTCGTCGTTGTCTGTACCACCTTCGAGGCACTCAGGGCCAAGTTGTTGAGGGAGACTTTACGTTCTTACGGCGAGCGATCTCCCTCAACTAATGACTAAGGTGAACTACCCGTACTACAAGGCCTTCGTATATGGGTGGAAGGAACTCGTTGGTCCAACCCCCAAAAGAAGAGATGGACCTACATCTGGTAGGCCGCCAGAGATGGTGGAAGACGTCGGCAGAAAAGAAGAGCAGGCTGTGTGTACATGGCGGATGTTAATAATTTCATAAAAAGGTGTTAACATTTTTTCTGAGACTTTTTTACGTTTACTACTCTCAACAGCAGAAAACCAAAAATTGTTGATGTAGTAAAATTTGTAAATAATAATCAATACTTATTTTTACTTTTTCTTACCTATATATGAAATAGGGAAAGTATTGCGATCGGGAAAAGTTTCGAAGTCACGCAAAATGGTCTGTATGTGTGTGTGTGTGTGTGTGTGTGTGTGTGTGTGTGTGTGTGTGTGTGTGTGTTTGTGTGTGTGTTAAGAGTCTAGGGCAAAAACGAAAAGTCGTACGAAAATGAAAAATCATATTTAAGGTTTTTATATTCTGCGGATATTACAGCAACTTTTTCGTCAAGATCAGCTAACCGGAAGTGGCACTTTATATCATGAACTTAATACATTTTTACGATTTTCTATAACGGTTTGATTAAATTTAAATCACTGTAAAATTAAGCAGTTTTAAATAAAATGTAAGTTTTAGTTGTAATTGAGGAACCAAAGGAATTCGATCACATCCGAGCTAGCTCGAAAGATTAGAACACGCTTCCATATGTTACAAGAGCTTAATATAATAAGAACTCCCACAATATGATGTTCATACATACATACATAGGGAGTGGGATAGCTCAGTGGTAAGGCACCGAGCTTCCAATGCAAAGGTCCCAGGTTCGAACCCCGGCTCATGGCAGAAAATTTATTTATCTGTTTCATTGGCCGCGGGGCGACCCTGGGTCGGGAGACTTTCCTGGGGCACACCCCGCCTCTATAAAGTGTGTACCCTTAATTAAATAATTAGTTAAGGGGGAAAACCTGGCGGTTGAGTGTGATCTCAGTCAAATCACCTCCTTACACAACCGTTGACCTAGAAACAGTGCTTTCCCTTAATAGTACTGAGCCCCAGACCCTTCCTGGGTTGTAGTGGTATAGGTATTTTTTTTTTTACATACATATGTGGTTTTCATAAATGGTACTGTTGGTATTATTTAATATTTAATTCAATAGACTACAGCGATATAAATATTTTTTTTTTTATTTTTTTTAGGCTCTCCCTTTCCTAGCCTTTACGGGGTTTTCCACCGAGTTAAAATAGACCGGGGCATAGGCCTTGAGTAACACGGTCGACCTTACCAATTTTTCACCACCATTGCCCGGCAACCTGATATATGAGACAATGGATTTTTAAAATAGTTACGACTCCGCGTCGCGGTGCCGGGGGAGTCTTTTAAATTTCCACCGGGCCAGGGGGTGTGGGTGATGAACGGGCTCTCAGAGAAGCATTTATAGGCCTTGAAGCAGCTGCAAGACCACTTGGTCTAGAAGTCAACGAGAGGAAAACTAAGTATATGAGAGTTGGTGGTGAGGTGGATCTGAACTCTCCATTTGAGATAGGTTCTTTTAAGTTTGAGAGAGTGAAAAGTTTTATATACCTTGGGTCTGAAATTAATAGCAAAAATGACATGGCTCAAGAAATACAAAGAAGGATCACGGCTGCCAATAGATGTGTCTTTGGACTTGGCCGACACTTAAGAAGTAGGTACCTCTCAAAGAAGACCAAGCTGATCATATACAAGACCCTTGTTCGGCCTGTTTTGACATATGGCTCAGAGGCTTGGACGATGACCAAAAACGATGAGATGAAGCTGAGTGTGTTTGAGCGAGGAGTCCTCAGAAGGATTTATGGTCCAGTAAAGGAGGGTGATGTCTGGAGGAAAAGAAAAAATAGAGAGCTCAGTTCTCTCTATACAGACATCGACGTAGTCACGTATATTAAACTGGCCAGACTAAGGTGGGCAGGACATGTGGCCAGAATGAGCACCGTTGAAATACCAAAGAAAATAATGATGGAGGAGCTGCACCTCGCAAGACGGGTAGGAAGGCCGAGGACGAGGTGGTTGGACAACGTGGCCTATGATGCGAGAACCCTGCTTGGTGTACGGAACTGGAGAGCTGTAGCAGAAGACAGAGCCAACTGGCGGAGGCTCTTGGAGGAGGCCCAGTCTCGGTAACGGGATGTCGTGCCACACATGATGATGATGATGTCAACGGTGGTGGAAATCGGTAAGGTCGACCGTGTTACCCACGGCCTATGCCTGTGTTTGTATATTGCATCCTTGTCAAGACGAGTGCCAGACTTCTCTCAATTTTTGCTACAAAAATATTAAAAATTTGTATATATAAGGTTACATATACAATCAAAAATATCGACAATGAAATATAAACCAATATCGCGTTCATAATTTTTAATTTCACTTCCCGGTTGTCTGAAAATACCAATTTCTGTTAAGAAGAGGGTGGTAAATGAAATTTGTGTGATGCGCGCACCGCGCCAGATTTTTTTGCTTGGGTGGCCATTTTTTTTACATTTGACTTCTATCATTTTACGAGAATAATGTTATAACAAAAAATTGTAATATTTTCCAGCTAATTATTTTTCAACAAAGCTGATGAAAGTTACTTTATCAAAAATATTGAGAAGATTAAAACTTAGACCTGTTGAAGAAAATTTTCGATTCGAAGATATCAAATTTGAGTGTGCCGTTATGACTGAAATCACGAATCCTCCTCTGCTGAAAATCGAAGAAAGAGCATAATTTTTTTTTTTTACGTCTAATTTTAATTTGCACTTGTAATATAATATAATAAGTTGGTTTAAATTGCCAACCTAAGAATTGTAAAATTATAAGAAATAAGTAGACATGAGGGTTTTAATTTGTCTCATGATTTTTAATTTACAAATTATTGAATATAAAATTTTTAATAACTGTTGTTTTTTTTTCAAATAATTATCCTTTTTAATTTCTTCATTTTATAAAAACAATTGTTTTGTGTGAAAACTATTATACCCGATCGTCACTCCGGTCCATGACCTTAATTTCTTACGAAGAAGGATAATTGAATCTTGTGAGACAATAACACATATCCAGTGCCCTTCTGCCACTGCTGCTGTTGAAGAAAGATGCCGAGCCTGTCTTAATGCTCAAGGAAATCACTTTGAACAGCATTTAATATGAATGTTAATGTTTACATTTAATTAATAAAGTAGTTCAAACAAATAAATAGGTTTTATTTATTTCATATAACGTAAATAATTCAAAACAACGAAAATCTTAAAGTGTTAATATCTCCCAAACCAAGCGTTTGCGGACATACCTTCAGACGTAATTTTTTCCTTGGATTGAGATCCTTAGTTCATTTTTGCAGGTTGGCCACTTAACCATGAAACACCCTGTATAAAACAGTCATTAGATCAGTTTTGTCTTATGGATGTGAGACTTGGCTACTTTCTGAAGAAAGTGAAAGAATGTTAAAAGTTTGGGAAAGGAAAGTACTCAGAAGAAAATATGGACCTGCCTGTGAGAACGGCAACTGGAGAATGAGGAGGTGAAAGAAATGGTCCAAGAATCAGATCTGGTTTCCTTTGTTAGAAAGAATATGTTGAAATAGCTGAGACATGTAGAGCGGATGTCGGCGAGAAGGCCCAATATTTCTGTAGGCCACTTATTTTTTAATTTTGTTATCATATCTTTCGGTTCAAGTGGAAAACAAATGATTAATCATGAGTTTTGAGTATCTATTTAAATAGACTAAGTTCGCCGACCTCAAAATTGAAAACGAACCAATTCAGAGAATATTCTTAAATAAAATATTTCTAGGTAACGATGAGATTAAGCTATTTACGGACTTTTAGGCGGATATTACAAATTTGATAAATACATGTCTATAACACGGACTATTATTTTTCAATACGGATATATATATCTGTAATGTATTTTATTTCTAATTATCTTCAACATACTTCTCGCTATGTGTATATATATATATATACTTTATTTTATTTTCTCTTCTCCTAATCTTTACTTATAATCACTTAAATATCTTAGGGAACATATGTATATCATTATTTTTTTTTTATATATTTTTTTGTTTTAGTTTTTACAATTTCTTTCCCTGCATATTAACAGTTATTATTATTTTTCTTTAATTTTTATATTCCATCACTACAATGCTTTACCTATAAAATAGATTTTACTTTCCTTTCTAATTTCATTCAGTGATTATTATGCAATTATTTTAGCTCCAACTGTCCTCGTTAATTAATCCTAAGAGCTTAATTAATACTTAATGTATTATATTTATTTTGTCATTATTCATTGTAATAAGTCTTTTGACCAGATTTGTAGTTAATATATATGAACAATACTGTTATTCTAAAGGGACTTAGTACCAGAATAAAGATGATTTTTCTATTTCTATTTCTATTTCTATATATATATATATATCAATGAATAATTGACGTGTAAATGCAAAAAGGACATTCTAACACGTTAACATTTTTTTCTCAGGCTTTTTACGTTTATTACTCTCAACATAGAAAACAAAAAAATGTTGATGTACTAAATTTTTAAATAATAATCAATACTCAATTTCACTCTCACTTATCTATATATCAAATATATAGTATTGTATATATATAGAATTGCGATCATGAACATTTTCGAATCTGCGTTTTCAAAGGAAATTCATATTTTGATGTGTCCTTATAACAGAAAAACTATCCATCGCATCGACAAATACATTCTGTACAAAATTAAAGCTGATAAAATTTTCAATATGATTGATTCTATACCTTTTTTGATACCTTCCTTAGTTTCCGAGATATCCACCCTAAACTATTGCTAATTTTGAAAAAAAATTCCTTATGTTTATTGTTTTTTTTTCGGATTTTCGCTTATATCAGTAAAACTATCCACCGCTTCGACAAAGACATTTTATACAAAATTAAAGCAAATAAAATTTGCAATATGATTGATTATATACCTTTTTTCGCTATTCACTTAGTTTCCGAGATATCCGTCATCGACTATGGCAAATGTGGAAAAAACAACTTTTTCACCCCATGTTTTTTTTTTTACTGTATTTGACTAGCTAGCACTTGATTGCTCCTTTCTACCATAAAGTGATGAGGAAAAAAAAAATCATTATTAAATTTTCTTCAAGAATACATATTATTTTACTAGTTGATCTTCAACGGTTCAAATGATAGATCAATTATAACTTTATATGTCAAATCCGAGAATTTGAAGAAACAAAAAAAAATCATTTTTATAATATAGAATAGAATAGAATAGAAGAATCAACTTTATTCCGGGACAAAGTCCCTTGAGAATAATAATATTGTACATAAAAATTAACATATATCTGGCTAAAAAGTATATTACAATAAAGAAAGCACATAAAAAAAAAACTAAAAAAAAGTAATAACAGAAGGATTTACATAACTATACCGATATATTAAAGACATAATATGAGCAATAAGGTCCTGATACTGCAAGATAGTTACTAAAAACAATAAACTATGGAATTTTAAGTGAGATTTGGAATGAATGACAACTTGCTTTTGTTGTCATACCATTGTATTAATGAAAAAAATAATAATAAGAGTGGATAAATATTTACTTTAAATGATTTACTCCACACAATCCGCCCTAATCAAAATCACCAGTGATGTTCAGTTGGCCATAGATACAAAAAACTAACTGTCCTTGTACTCCTAGACTTTTCCAAAGCCTTTGATACCATCAACCATTCCATCCTTTCCTCCAAATTGAAATCGTTATCCTTTTCCAACAGCTCTATCATTTGGTTTCAATCATTTCTCTCTCAACGTACCCAATCAGTCTCTATTCCCAACCAACCTTTATCATCCTATCTAACTCTGTCCTCAGGAGTGGCAGAAGGCTCTAGCATATCTCCTCTCATTTTTAGTTCATATATTAACGACCTTCATAAATCAATCCTTCACTGTTCCCTTCACCTTTATGCTGATGATTCCCAAATTTACCTCTCCTTCGCTCCCTCAGAGTGGCATGATGCGTTTGCCAAAATACAAGAAGACCTAAATCGGATTTGTGCCTGGGCAAGTGGAAATGGAGTAAGGTTAAACGCTGCTAAAACCAAAGCCATTGTCATTGGTTCCAAACCCCTTCTCAGATCAAATACCAACATTCCTCTCCTGTACCTAAATGACCAACCCATCACCTTCAACTCTTCAATTAAAAACTTAGGTGTTTTCATAGATCAAAGTCTCTCTTGGAATCACCATATTTCCCAAATATCCCAACGCTCAATTTCCACCCTGAAACTCTTCCATCGCTCCCGCCATCTCCTACCCATGTCCACACGTAGACTCCTAGTATCCGCCCTCATCTTCCCCCACCTTGACTACGGCTGCGTAGTGTACAACTTGGAGACAGACTGAACAGAATCACGAATGGGTTAGTACGATTTGTCTATGGAACCTCGAGACGTTCACATTTTTCCCACTATTACGCCGAGTTAAGGTGGCTCTTTCCCTCCTTTAGAAGACAATATTTCCTAGGTTCATTCCTTTACCAAATAACTTATAATCATCGTCCGTCCTACGCATTCAATCTCCTTCTATTCAAGTCATATATGTACATACGTTATTGTATATACGTATATTTGTATTTATAGAGAGTTAAAGCAATATAATAACGAATATTATAAAAATTAATAAAAAGGAAACAGTATCTAAAATTATAAAATTCATTAATCAGTAATACTGTTGATGACGATGAAGATGAAAAATAAATCATTACTCATTTTATTATCCATTTCCCGATTATCCTAATGAACGATATATAATGAACAATGACAATGCATTTTGTCCACATTAAAATCGAATGAGATAGATATCGTCATATCAATTATTATAAGAAACCTGAACTATGGTTATGAAGGTATAATATGACCATATGATTATTAGGTGCATGCTTTCCAATTTTCATCGTGAAGAAGATGTCATTTAGATATCCGATCTGAAGATACTTTCAAGACATGTGGAGCAAGATATTTTTTAACTACCTATAAAAAGACATCTGATCATAGATATCTTTCAAGTTATTTTAAAGATAATAATAATAATAATAATAAGGCTTAGCGAACCCGAAGGTTCGATGCCGACACCACCAATCGCTTGTTACACACCTCCCTCCACCGTTCGCCGTCCAAACCCAGTCCCTTCAGATCGGCTTTAATGCAATCTTCCCACCTTCTCTTCGGTCTACCCCTCGGACGCTTACCATTCGGCACAGCAAATATTAACCTTTTAGGAATTCTCTCGTTACTAAGCCCAACAACTTTACAAGCCCATTTGATTCGCCGCGATGAAATTACCTCACTTATATTACCCGGATACAGCTCACGCAATTCGGCGTTGTGTAACCGTCTGAACTCTCCGGTTAACTCATCCTTCTTCGGTCCGAATATTCTACGCAATACTTTATTTTAAAAACCTTAAGACGCTGCTCATCCCTTAATGTAAGCGGCCAAGTTTCGCATCCATAAAGAACTGTAGGCAAGATAATTGTTTTATAGATTCTAATTTTTAAGTTTCGGGACAAGAGGCGCGAACTAAGTAGTTTTGTCACAGAAAAACAACAAGCATTCCCCGCCTTCAGTCTAACCTTAATCTCTTCTTCAATTTCGTTTTTTCTAGTTATCGTAGAACCTAGATACCTAAATTTATCTACCTGTTCAAACATATTACCATCTATATCGATATCACCAG